AAAGAAAGCAAACGTGAGACATATACATGTATAATAATCTCATTACACTGGAGATCTGAGTAATAATCTCTTTACAGTACTCAGGTAGCATGAGTGAGTTACTTCCTTCTGTGCTCTCGAAACAACTATAATTCCTTCTTTAGAGCTGTTCTTTCCTAGACTGGCACATATTCAATCTACAAACAGATCATCTTACGACACCTACTCTCTTCTTAAAAGGGCAGTCCTCAAGCCAGAAGTGGCTACCAACAAAAATAATAAATCACAATATTTGCATTGTTTTACTTTATGTTAAACTAGATTTAGTCGGAATTGAAACATAGCTTTTAAAGTATGTGTGGAACAGTTGCTTAAGAACTTACAGTGATGGATATCATAGAAAACTCTTCTAGGAAGATAAATAGCTACAAAGACAACTTTCAAAGTGTGCATGCTTACTTTAGCAAGTCCAACTATGCAGATACCTATGGTTCCTTCTTTTGGAAATTGCTGACCAGTGAAGAATACAGGACCCCACACCAGCTTTCTTAAAACAAAATACTGTTTAAAATTATTCAGTGAAGTAAAACGTGGCATACAGAAAGGGGATTTTAAAATAATAAAACAGTTTACATTCATGAATACCTTACCTCAAGTTCTAACATACCAGTCTTACCTTGGACACTTTAAACTAGGGGTGTGCAAAATGTGGTCCACAGGCTGGATGAGGCACACCAGGCCATTCTATCCGGCCCGCAGGGACCCTAAAAAATTTAGAAAATTAATATTTATCTGCCCCGGCTGCCTGTCATATCATGCGGCCCTTGACTCCTTGCCAAAACTCAGTAAGTGGCCCTCCGCCTGAAATAACTGCCCGCCCCTGCTTTAAACAGTGGAGGGGGCCATAAAAGTTCTAGGCTAGAACTTCAGGAATTCCACCCTAGAACAGACTTTTGAAACTAGTTGCTTCATGTTTTGTTTGCAGCTGAAGCTTTAAAACAGGGAACTATATTTTTCAAGGAAGATTAGCTTCCAAGTCAATGGAGATAACTGAGAAAACCTCTGAAAAATCCAGCCGTACATTTGTGTGCTGAATAACAGGCTACAGATACATAGTTTCAGGCAGCCAGTTGAAAAAATTTCAGTCATACTTATTTTAAATGTTGTCTCATGAAAATGTGTATGGCATTTAAAAACGCATACATAATTTATTTCTTCAGCTTCCATTTGCACTACATACACAAAAGACGCGTTCCTTTTTTAAAACAATTAAAATTAACTTAGTACTGGAAGTTTCATAAAAAACTTGAGGGTCAGACACTGATCTCGCTAATTCTAGTTTTATACCAATAACAATTTTGTCTATTCTTTTTCAAAACATAAATAGGAATACAGTATATACATACAAAAACCAGAGAATCCCCTGAGTCTTTATCAGGGGATTTCTCCTCCAACCTGCACCGCAAAATTAAACAGCTAACGAGCTGTTCCTGACCATTTAGAAGCCAAAACTTGTCTGTTGGTTCTAACCCTAAGAGTCACCACTCATTGGACTCCTGCTTTCAGAATTTCACAGTTCCCTGCTTAGCATATATGCACTCCAAAAACCATGCTAAAGTTGTGACAAACCCCAAAATAATTTAAGGACTGAAACATATCACATCTTCTGAAAATTAGTTATAAGTGTGCATGCATTAAGACAGTGGTGTCATACTGTGCCTCTGCACTGGAAGATATACAGCACACAAAACCCTAAGGTTCTCTTAATGCAAATGCTTATGTTATGCTGCCTTCAATTTTATAAAGGAAACCATGGTACTGTTTAAAGATAAATTACTGAAAAATAACTTGTTTTAATCTGAAGGATTCTTCATAAATTGTGGATAAGGGAAGGGGAAAATTAGTCTTAATCCAGTTGGTACACGCTCTTCACAGAATCACAGCTCAGTATATACATGATACTGCAACTTAAATTTGATTTTTATGTTAACAAATCCAGGAAGCGACACAGTATTTAGCTGTAATTGCACTTAAAAACAGATGAATTTAATAACAGTGAAGAGCAGGTTTAATACCTGGAGTGCCCAAAGCTTGGCAAGCTCAGGTCCAAGAACTTGGGATCCCTTATAATTAATTTCCCAGCATGCTGCACAGCTCACATCCTAGGGCAAAACTAATGCTGCTTCACTGTGTAAGCCCCAGGAGTTTGGGAGATTAAACAAGACTCAGAAGACAAATTAATTTCAGTCCTTACTATATAACGAAGACAGAGTCTAAAGTGTTATCAAAATGTTATCCTAAATAGAGACAGGATGGTGACCCACCAAAATGCTTTCAGTTACTAAAATGTTGCTCACAGCTAAGAGAGCAATGCTGAAAGTACATATGCATAGAGAGACCAGTTAAAAGTCAACTGGATCAGGAATCAAAAAATCAACTGGATCAGTATAAAATCATTCCATATGCATACGTATTTATAGGCTCAAGGCCTACGTTTTTAGGGTGGTGGGCCAATCAGACTTTCTCTCTCAAAGCAGTGGGACCCAACCTTTTGGGCTCCAGGCCAATGAGTGGTGCAGTATCAGTCCACAGTCAGTGGGCCTGAGCCAGTGCAGGCACAATGTGACATGTGGCCTCAGTTCTGTATATGCTGGACTGGGTCCCCTGTCCCAGTCCTAGCCCTGCACGTTACATCAAGGCAGCTACCCTGTACATGCCATACTGGGCTCACTGCCCCAACCCCCATTAGTGCCACCCTAGCCCCAAACATGTTGAACTAGCCCTGCTGCCCTGGCTTCAGTTCCATGCATGCTGGTTTAGGCCTGCCACCCTGGCCTCACAAACCAGATGGATCTAGTGAATAAAGCCACAACACCTAGCCTCTGGGCTTGAAATCTGGCAGCAGGGGAACAGTAGCAGCATTAATTACCACCACTCTCTGGCACCACATTTCTAGACCTGTGGGGAACCCCAGGGGCCAGATGACACGGTTCTGTGGGCTGGAGGCTAAGCAACAAACAGTGCCTTAGAGGAGTATCATATGTGATCAAAGGTTGTAAAATGACAATCCACTGAATTCATAAATAAGTAACAGCTAAACAGAAAATGGATTATAACTCCCCCTCAAATATTTCCTTTGAAAACTGCAATCCCAAGAGTCCATTTTAGACAAATAAGCATCCCCATCAGAATGTCAACATTAAAACTGCTAAGGAACTTCATGTCTAGAGATGGACATTTCCCCTGTAATCCATGCATTCTGGCCTCTAGACCCTCCCTCTCCCCTGCACCATAACCAGAATTTTGTTTGGGGTTTTTTTTTAGGAAAATTTTTCATGTTTCAAGCCAAATCAGTCAAAACAATTCCAAATCCATGAGTCATTCAAGAACCATATGTAGCCCTACTACCAGCAAACATCCTCCACCCTAACCTGGGCCTTTTAGATGTTCCCAGATAATTTGGTGGGCATCCTATGTGCAGGCCCAAGGCCAAAGGCTTGGGTTTTGGATGCCCCCAGGTTTTGCTTGCCCTCAGCACTACGGCCACAGGAGCAAGATAGGGAGGAGTCTCCCAGTTCCATAAAGTGGGTGTAAACTTGCAGGAGTGGGCAAAATGCGGCCCACCAGGCAATTCTATCCGGCCTGCAGGGCCCCTAAAACATTTAGAAAAATCAACATTTATCTTTCCTTTGCTACCTGTCATGTGGCCCTCAATGGCTTGCCAAAACTCAGTAAGCAGCCCTCTGCCCAAAATAACTGCCCACCTCTGGGCCATAAAGCCAAGATCTTCCCACTGAAAATGAAAGTGGAAGGGTAACTATACATTACCTCCACCCATGCCAGAACAGTGGCTATCCTCTGTCCCTGGTTAAACCAACACGGTGATCATGGTATTTCCCCTGCACCGTAACCAGAATCGAGGCGATCCCAGTTTGGGGAAGGCAGAGGAAGCAGCAGCAGCGGAGGAAGTCTCCCCAAGGCCAGGGGACATAGGCGACTGGTAGGAGGGGCGCTGGGGAGCATGTGCCCTCCCTGACAGGGTTGTCTCCGCTGCCCACGCCACCAGTGGCATCAGCAGGAGTTTGCTGGCTCTGCCCCCAGTACCCCTGCCAACAGCTTCTGCGGGTGCCCCCCAGACTCAGGAGACACCAATTACCCATACCAGGGGAAGTACCAAAAGCTATGCCTGACTCCCCTTCCTCCCAGCCTCTGCACCCAGGAGCCCCAGCCTGGAAGATCTTTGGGGCACATTTCCTTCAGGAGAGGGGTGATTTCTACCCACAAAGTGGCACTATGTCCAGGGAGCATGAATGCCACGTGCCCCTGCAGGCTGGGGGGGAGCAGCATGGCGAGGTCCCGCAGGCAGCGGTGGCGCTGTCAGTGGAGGGAGCATGGCGGCAGTGAGCTTCTGTCAGCGGGGGGGGGGGCACACCCACAGACACTGCCAGCAGTGTTGGCCAGTGGCGACTGGGGACTGCCCGCAGACACTGCCAGCTGTGTTGGTGGCGGGGAGGAGGCAGGGGGCAAGCGGGCATTGCCAGCCAGCAGCAACTGGGGACCATCCACAGAGTGGGTGGGAAGCTGTGCCTGCCTGCCTGCAGGTTCAGTCAGCAGTGTCGGTGGCACCTTTTCGCAGGGGGTGCACCGCCAAGCTCAGGGGGTGCACGTGCACCCCCTACGCGTCGCCAATGCCAGGGAGCATGTCAAGGCCAGCGCGGGGCAAGTGAACCACAAGACGACTAAACTGCAGCAGATAAACCCCCTCCGCCGAAGATAAATAAAAGCCTCCCCGCTGCCCAGCCTCTACGCCCGAACGCAGACAGGGGAGCGGACTCTTCAAGGAAAGGCGGGAACGGGGCACCTCGCCCGGCCTGTGCAGCACGGGCCAGGCGGGGAGGAGGAATAGGAGGAGGAGCCGGGCCAGGGCAGTGCAGTGCAGCCGCCCTGGGGAGCCCCCAGCCAAGCCAAGCCGCGCTGCAACAGCACGTCCCCCCCACACCCCGGCCCGGCCGGCTACACACCCAGCAGGAGCCCGTCCATATCAAAGAGCAGGTGGGTGGCGGGCGCGGGACGGCGGGAAGCGGCCATGGTGCGGCAGAGGCGGCGCAGGCGTCCAGTGCATCCTGGGAGGGGAGAGCGGGGCCGGGGCGGGGCCGGGGGAGCTCCCCTCGCCCCACCTCCGCTGCCGGACTGGGGCGGTGTGCGCCCTGGCGACCCGCAGGGGGTGGACCCGACCCTTTGCCTTCGCCCGCCGCCTCCGGAGCAGGCCCGGCAGGGCGAGGCCGCGCAGCCCAAGCCCTGCCTGAGGATATGGAAGGAGGGAAGGGAAGTGAAAGGAAGCTGGAGGCAAAGGCAGCCCAGGCTCTTTGGGGAAGGAAGGGTAGTATCTTTTTATTAGACCCACTCAGTCGTTTGGAAACTTGGCTCATATCCTGTACAGCCAAAGAGTTTTGTCTGCCTGCGCCCTTACACCGACGCTTCCCAAGCTTTTCCAGCCTCAGGCACGCTTGGGTTAATACCAGCTTCCCCCCATCTGGCACACCTGTTAAGGCCTTCCCCAGCCTTGTAGCTGTTGTAGCTCATTGCCACAGCAAAAAACGCAGCACGCCTGTTTATTGCTGATGGCACGCTGGTTGGGAAACACTGCCTTGGACCAACAGGTAGAGTGGCTAGCATAGAGGACAGTCCGGTTGTCCTCTATCCTCTATTGATACGAAACCCAACACCTTTATGTCTTCTATTTTTCTCTTCAAAATAGAGGACATAAAGGCATGCAGTTTCATATCTATTCTCTTTGTATTTGAAGAGAAAAACAGGACATCAAGGTGTGGGGTTTCATGTCAATAGAGGACAGAGTAGCAGAAAACAATGTCCTCTATGATGGCCAGCTTACCAACAGGGCTGCAGCCGGCACCCCCAAAAACTAGAGGCAAAGAGGTGCTTGAGATGCTATTGCGGGGTATCATAAGCTGCCTGGGAAGCTGAGACTCATGCTGAGAAGGAGATGAACTTCAACCCTGAGGCAGGGGACTTCATTTCAGTGAGGATGAAATTTAACCACGGACTTCATCTCGGTGGGGATGAAGTTTAACCCTGAGGCAGGATGGACTTCATCTCGGTGAGGATGAAATTTAACCACCCACTTCATCTTGGTGGGGCTGATGTGTAACCACAAACTTCATCTCTGTGGGGATGAAGTTTAACCCTGAGGCTGGGGCAACTTCATCTTGGTGGGGATGAAATTTAACTGCCAGCTTCATTTCGGCAGGGATGAAGTTTAACCCTGAGGCAGGATGGGCTTCATCTCAGTGAGATGAAATTTAACCGCCAGCTTCATTTTAGTGGTGATGAAGTTTAACCCTGAGGCAAGGCGGACTTCATCTTGGTGGGGATGATGTTTAACCACCAACTTCATCTCTGTGGGAATGAGGTTTAACCTTCAGGCGGGATCTACTTCATCTCGGTGGAGATGAAATTTAGCCCTGAGGCTGGGGAACTTCATCTGGGTGGGGATGAAATTTAACTGTCAACGTCATCTTGGTGGGGATGAAGTTTAACCCTGCGGCAGGGTGGACTTCATCTCAGTGAAGATGAAATTTAACCACCAGCTTCATCTCACTGGGGATGAACTTTAACCCTGAGGCAGGGGACTTCATTTCAGTGGGGATGAAATTTAACTGCATACTTCATCTCAGTGGGGATGAAGTTTAACCATCCAGTTCATTTTGGTGGGGATGATGTTTAACCCTGAGGCAGAGTGGACTTCATCTTGGTGAGGATGAAATTTAACCACCCACTTCATCTTAGTGGGGATGAAGTTTAACCGCCAGCTTCATCTCAGTGGTGATGATGTGTAATCACCAACTTCATCTTTGTGAGGATGAAGTTTAACCTTGAGGCAGGACCTACTTCATCTCAGTGGAGATGAAATTTAACCCTGAGGCAGGGTGGACTTCATCTCAGTGAAGATTAAATTTAACTGCAGACTTCATCTTGGTGTGGACGAAGTTTAACCCTAAGGCAGGACCCACTTCATTTCAGTGGGGATAAAGTTTAACCCTGAGGCAGGGCCAAACAGTGTAGTAGTCAAGTACAGCACACAGATGAATGCTTCTGTTCTTGGAGGTGTTGCTTGTAGCCATGTTGGTCTAAAGATACAGGTAGGCAAGGTTTTTTGGGCAAATATATCTTTTATTGGACCAACTAAATAGTTGGAAAAATTGTTCTTTGCGAGTTTTCAGACACAAACAGAGATAGAGAGAGTCTGCTGTTGTTTTGTGTTCTGGATGGAATAGAAGCCAGTATGCAAAATGTAGGTTTGTGAACTCTTGGAGCTCTCAAACCAGGATGCAGAGGTGGTTTTTAATACCATCTCCCACAGTGTTATGGGAATGTGATAGCAGCCTTTAACTACCTGAAGCCTGGTTCCAAAGAGGATGGAGCTAGATTGTTCTCAGAGGTGGCAGATGACGAGATGAGGAGCAATGGTCTCAACTTGCAGCAAGGGAAATTTAGTTTGGATATTAGGAAAAAAAAATCTCACTAGGAGAGTGGTGAAGCACTGGAATGGGTTACCCAGAGAGGTGGTGGAATCTGCATCCTTGGAAGTTTATAATGCCTGGCTTGACAAAGCCCTGGCTGGGATGATCCAGTTGGGGATGGTCCTGCTCTGAGAATGGGGTTGGACTAGATGACCAGCTGAGGTCCCTTCCAACCCTCATTTTCTGTGATTCTAAGAAAGCAGAAACACTTTCCTGCCCAGAACAGGACAGGTCCCACCTAGCCCCAGTATCTGCTTTCTGGGCAGGAAAGCTTTTCTGCTTTTTTAGAATGATAGAAAATTAGGGTTGGTTTTCTATCCACTGAAAAAGGGGGTTGGGATGTACCATAGAACAGGTGGACACAGTGGTCGTGGGAAAGAAAAGCAGTGTAAGACTGTTAAAGGAAGAAGCACAGAAGCTGGATAACTTTTATCATCAGAAACTTAAAGAAGCTAAGGAGGTGGAGGGAAGAAATGTGCAAATGAGCGGGAATTGTTCTCCAGGACTGGCTCTTGTGGCTGTGAGGTCCGCAGCTAACGAAGCTCACAGCAGAGACAGCAGTGAGAACACTGTGAGCCTTGTGGGCTGTAGGGCTCACAGCTGGGGCAGTGGGGAGAACCACTGTGAGCCCCACACTGCAACCTTCTCCCTGCTGCCCCACTGTGGGCCCTGCAGCCAATGATGCCGTCCCCGCTGCGGGCCCTGTAGTCAACGAAGCTTGCAGCTGTGGCAGTATTCTCACCACTGAAAGCCCTATAGCTGACAAGGTTGACAGTGGGGGCAGTGCCAGGAATACTGCTGCCATTGCTAGCCTTGTCAACTCTGGGGCTGGCAGAAGGTGCTGCACCCCTGTGGCCAAGAGCCCCTCAGTTGACGGGGCTCCCAGCCATAAGGGAGCACTTGGCCACATAATCAATTAATCAACTAGCTACAATGTTACTTCACTTTTTTTGGGAACAGTTTTGTAGCTTATTGCTTATTTTATCACACCATTAATTGGTTGAGCATGTAGGGGGATTTAAGGCATGATTAGCTGCAAAGCCTTAACCACATACTTAACTTTATGTATTTATAGTCCTGCTGACTTAAATGACATATATCTAAATATATGCATACAGCTAATTATTTCCAGGTTTAGAGCATTACTTAGTTGGGCTACACCTGGATGTTTCGTTTATATGTTATTTATTTATTTGGCAATAACTTCCTGTGAAGAACATCTGAGAAGTAGATATTCTTACATCCCCAAAAAGAACTACCTCCTTCTCTTCCTTCTTCCTTTGTCATAGACTAGATGTTTTTTCCAAAATCGTGCACAAGTGAATGACTTTCCATTGCTGCAGTGAGGTTGTCCTATGTACAGGTCTTACCAAGAAGTCGCCAAATGAGCAGGTACTCCATTGTCTGGGTCCGGGAATCGCTATACTGACCAGTCTGTATCAGCCCCTCTGGGAAGGTCTTTCAGGTCCATTTCAGGGCATCTGATTTCATATACTCTTTCCTTCCATAACCTCAGTTGCTCCCTGTCGGCTGCTGTGTCCAAGGGCACAATAGTGGTCACAAAACACTTTTGTTCTGTAAGCCATTTGGTTTACTTCTGTGTGACCATAGAGTGGATGCCTAGGGTCTTCCATCTATCGTGATCTTTCTTTTTGGCTCGCTACCTTTCTTCTAATATCAGGCGGTGGAATGCAAGCCTGTAAGTACAGGCTATCCTTTGGGATTGGCTTTAGACATCCTGATATTTTACAACAGCTGTCGTTTAGAACTGTTTCTAGTTTCTTGGCATGAACTGCTTGTTCCTATACTAGATATGCATACTCTGCAATGGAGTAACACAAGGCTGTAGCAGTGGTTTGTAATGTAGCTGTATTCACTGCCCACTTTGAGGTGACCAACTTTTGAAGTATGTTGTGGGTGCTGACTTTCTCTTTTGTCTTCTCTACCTGTACTTTGTAAGTAAGTGGTCCAATGTAACCCCCAAGTACACAGGTTTCAGGTGGTTTGTCAGTAGGATTTCATCCCAGATGATGTTTATTTTTGCTTGGCTTCTCTGTAGCATAGGTGAAAAGCTGTGACCTGTAATAATCTGAGAGGTTGCTCAGTCCACATGTCATTCTATTCTTGACAGTGGCAAAGTCCTTCTCTAGTGACATGATGCATAGATCATCAGCATATATGAAGCTTCTTGTATTAGTCTGTGTGGGTTGGTCATTAGTATATATGTTAAAGAGAATCAGTACTAGCATGGTGCCCTGTAGGAGGCCATGTTGTTGTCATTTCCAGCATCTCCATTTCTTGCACAGTTCTACGTAAAAACATCTATTCTCCAAAAGAGATTGGATGAGCTGCACTAGATGATAGTTGTGTGTCATATTGTACGCTTTAGCAAACAG